AGTAAACGTAAACATTTTCTGTGATTTTTAATGTTAATTAAACGTCAATCGGCCATTACTTTCCGGGGGGACTGTACTACGTATATCTGAAGCGAAAATTTAAGCCGCATGCATAAAATTTTCCACTATCATATAGATGAAATACTAACGCTAGCTTTATTCTACATCCTTCTTAAAGCAAATCGGAAATTTTTCAATACACTTTCTAAATGCACGCTATGTCAGCTTCTAAGACCTAATTATTACTCTCTAGAAGTGCACACCCTCTCTAAATGCACATTTTGTCTATGGTCACAAGGAGGGGTGCACTTAGGGAGGTGTATTATCGTTATTGCACAACGATATAAATTTAGGTAACGGTAATACATAAAATCTTATATCACTTTTTTGTCTGTGTTACATTAAATAACTTTCTTTTGTACATGTAGGCTAAAACGATAACTGTTCTGTAGCATTGTCCGTAGTCAATACGCAGTCTCTTCACTTACTTTTATGCATTACAATAGAAAAAATTAAAATATAATTTTCAAGGAATTTTTATTAAATCAAATCGGGAGCTTTCCGTTTCGATTATTTTTAATTTATTTGGCATATATAAACAACAAATTTTTGTCATTATTTTTGAGCCATTATAAACACTAACCAGCAGAATAATATAATAATAATGGATAATAATAATAATATTAGATATAAAGATGAGGATGCGAATGAAGAGAATGACGACGAAAATTATTTGTCAATTGCTCTGAAAAATCTTTTACAAGATTTCTCTTCGATCACAAATCCTGGCGGGCAAGATGAACACCTAGAAGAATGTGTTCTTAATTGGTTCTCCAAACATAAAGAATTCACCCAAGAAAAAACATTCGAACATTTAAAACAAATTACTCATAAAAATTATAATTATGCATGTCTACTCGGATTCTTTTATCATCGATCTTTTGGTACAAGGGTCGACCGGCAAGAAGCATTTAAATGGTACCTACAAGCTGCTGAAAATAATGATGCATTCGGTCAAAATCAGGTTGGATATTTTTATCATAGTGGTATCGGCACCCAAAGAAATAATGAGAGAGCCTTTTATTGGTACCAGAAATCTTCGGATGGCGGATGCAGTAACGCAAAACACAATCTCGGTTACTGCTATCAGTATGGAATTTATGTAAAGAGAAATACACGATATGCTTTTTATTGGTATTCCAGAAGTGCTGAGATGGGTGATGAATTTGGCATGTGTACTTTGGCAGATGTGCTTTTGCGTGGTATTGGGACGAATGTTGACGTTCATCAAGTTTTAAGATTGTATCGAGAAGCAAAAAATTTGAAATGTATGCGTGTTGATGAAAGTCTTCGTTCTATTTTCTTTTACTGTAATCATTTGTTCTAATAGTTATCTCTTTTATTCTTTGAGATTATTTTATATAATGAAATGAGTTTTTTTGCAAATTCAAAAGCTAAAACTCATTGAAAAAAGTTAATTTTTATATAGTTCAATAAGAATTTTGGCTTTATCGTTATATGATAACCTGCTGTTTTAATTTTTTACTGGAATCAAATATTTTTAGAATGAGAAATATAATAATGACATGTTTTTATCAAAACAAAACAAAATTAACTCGGATGTTCAATCACAATTCAAATTATGACAAATTTTCACTGGTAATGTCCAGTATCGGATATTTACAGGCCTCTACAAAAGGTTCCAAACACTTTTGGACGCGAAATTTCAACATCTAATTGTTGGGTTCGCGGAATATCTCGGCACCCAGTTGTTGGATTCGCACAGAAATATTACCATTCGATTCAGAACAACTAGACGAATCGAATGGTAGTATTTTGTGTGAACCCAATAGCTAGATGGTGAGATATCGCGCCCGAAAAAGTGGTTGGAAACTTTTAGTATCCATATGCGAATCGTAAAAAAAAGGATATAACGATAACGATAACCGAAGGATTAGTAAATCTTCGTTATCGTTGAACGTATCGAGCTTACTATTACTTTTTTTTTATAACGAATACTAAGTCGTTGCAAAATTCAAACTTTGTTATATCGAGATTTTAATTATACATGTACTTGAGCAATTTTTACTGTAATTATTTCCCATACGTAATAGATTTATGTACCTAAATTTTATTTTTGACTTTGTATCTAATACAATTCTCATCAGAATAGGCTATATCATGATTTTTTCGCTTTGGTTTCGGTGGTCAATTTGATTTCTCTGTGTTGCCAACCAAATTGCATCTTTTGTATAATGTTGTTCGTTTTCTTTAAATCATAACTTGATATGAGTTTTGAATACATTGAAGCTGATTTGCGAATGGGTGCTCGAATTGTTGAAATGTTTTTTTCTGTCCTGTCCTGTCCTGTAAATGCTATTTTGTAAATACGGTGATAAGATGTGTAATTTTGGATATCGCACTATCTCAATAAGATGAGCCACAGGGTAAAGTTTCTCGGTTGATTAAAGTTAACATAATAAAAATTAATTCATCACATTTTTTATTCTCTTGTCATTGGTATATTATCGGTAGTTTTTTACGACGTTTGGTAGGTGGTTTCCGATTGCTATAAATTCATTTTGATTAGGTTTGTATTTATTTCTTGATCATTAGCCATCTTACGTCACTTTTTTTGGCTTGAAATCGGCGCTTATAGATCCTCGTCACAGGTAAAAGGGGCAAGGTTTATGATTAAGTAGCTCGATGCAATTTGAAAATTTATTCTAAACTTAAAGTAAACCATATTACAACCAATATAAACTTTAAATGTTTAGTTTATTACAAAGTTTATAGAATTGGAACTCTTAAGCAAACATTAAATAATGCGTTAGTTTATCACAAGATTGACGCGTATTAAACCTTTGGTAAACCTTACCCCTTTTACCTCGTGAAATCTATGGATTCCAGGCTTGCCTTACAAGTCAATTCGAACAAAATTAATTTCAATATTGATTTTATCAGTTGCGTTTTAAAATTTCACATTTTGACCAGAAAATTATCACCATAGAATTCTCTATTCATAAATTAAAAAATATCCTAAGCGAAATTGTTAGCATTCAAATTACAAAATTGCCGACTACTGCTGTCGCAATTAAAGCGTTAATCTGCATAGTTTGAGAAAGCTCGGAGTAAACTCCTTCCTTTTCTGAGTTATTAGGCTTGAGGGCGGATAAACTAGTGCTTAAATCTTGGACGGTTTTAGTTAAATCGGTAATGCTTACCACTTGGTTATGAATACGCGTGGCACTGACATCTAAAAGTCGGTATATTTTTTCCGATAACGATAACGTTAATCCATGTACATGTGTAACGATAACTACATAACAATAACTGTTACCACTTGTCATTGTTTATGTTATTCCAATTTATTTTGGCATTATTTTTCAGCCATTAATAATAACAACAATAGGAATAAAAATAATATGAATTATAATAACGATAAGAATATTGTTAGATGCGATGAAAATGCGGGTGAAGAGAATGACGGCGAAAATTATTTATCAAATGCTCTCAAAAATCTTTTACAAGAATTCTCTTCGATCACAAATCCTGGCGGACAAGATGAACACCTAAAAGAATGTGTTCTTAGCTGGTTCTTTAAACATAGAGAATTCACCGAAGCAGAAACATTTGAACATCTAAAACAAATTGCTCATAAAAATTATGATTACTCATGTCTACTAGGATTCTTTTATCATCAATCATTCGGAACTAAATACAACCAGCAAGAAGCATTTAAATGGTACCTACAAGCTGCTAAACATAATGACGCATTCGGTCAAAATCAGGTTGGATATTTCTATCAGCGCGGAATCGGCATAAAAAGAAATTATGAGGAAGCTTTCTACTGGTATGTGAAATCATCGGATGGAGGATGCAGTAATGCAAAATCCGGTCTCGGATACTGCTATCGAAATGGAATCCATGTAAAGAAAAATTCGCGATATGCTTTTATTTGGTATTCTAAAAGTGCAGAGATGGGTGATGAATTGGGCATGTGCAATTTGGCAAATGTACTTTTACATGGTATAGGAACGAATGTTGATGTTCATCGAACCTTAAGGTTGTATCTGGAAGCGAAAAATTTGGGACGTACACGTGTAGAGGTATCTCTTCATAGACTTTTCCGTGCTCGTTAATCATTATTTCAAAAATACATGGACATTCACAACATCGTGAATCTCTTTATGATGCAAGTCTAAAAGTTCTTCGTTTAAATTTTTTAATATTCTTGAAATCAGTCACCGCAAAATTATTAATAATATAGAAAATAAGTAGCTAATTAAAAATTGATACAATGTTGTTGTTGTAAAAAAGAACAAGAACTCCTATGATTTCTGTGATATACATGTAGTTACAAATCTTTCATTTCTAGGTTCTGTAGTGATCTACGTAATTCTAACAATTAATTCAAATACTTTAGAGCTTACAAAACGTTAAACAGAACTCTGAGTCTAAGTAGAATTTTCACAAATTTTAGGAAAATTTTTTATAGTACATGTATTGTACTCTGGAATTTTAGAGTTCTACAAATTATCAAGTATTAGAGTAATCAAATAACATTTGACGATTTCTTTTTTTACATATGATTTCAAATTGCATAAGCAATAAATTTGCTAGCACGAAAAGTCTTATGGCAACAAATCAAACAAATAATTCTTATCATTATGTATATGAACGATTATAGCGATAAGAGTTGCTAATTCGCAATTTCATTAGATCGTATGATCCAACAGCACGAATTTGCGGATTCAAAGTGCCACCAAAAACAATTGTTTTATACAGTACTGTTACAGGTTAGTGACCGATTATAGGAATTAGCTGTTAATCTGTAACTTCAGTGGGAGAAACGAATTAATCTAAAGTTATTTTATTTACTAGTTTTCCAAGGTTCTGTGCCAATATCTTTGGATATTGTTGTGTTCAATTATCGGTTTGGTTTTGTTTACGTGTTTCACAAATGTTAAACAATGCGTTCACTTTTTCTGGACCAAAAGCGTAAACCCTTAAATCGTAGTCGTCAAAACAATTATCTCACTTTTCTGGATCAAAGCGACAAACCCTTCAAATCGTATTCACCTCACTTTTTCTGGATCAAAGTGGCAAACCCCTCTTTGTAACAATGGATTTAATTATTGGGATGGAGGATGAAAAGGCACTATAAGAACTAATTGTACACAAGTAAGTAATTATATTTTAAATTTTTTTGCCAATTCTCTGCCTGTTCTCTAATTGCTCTTTTTCATTCTCATTATATACATTTTTGGCTTCCTATTTACGATGTAATTTAAGATACAATTTATAATGAAATTATAGTAAAATTTACAGTGGAATTTACAGTAGAATTTATAGTATAATTGGCAGTGTAATTTTTGGTGTAATTTGCAGTGTAATTTGCGATGTAATTTGAATTGATTGATACAAATAAAGAAATACATGTACACAAAAACACAATGCATTTTTAAAAGGAGACTGTATTACCGGTAAAACAGTATATCAATGATGTTAGAAACTCAAATTCAAGTACGTATACAAATTCTGATACATTAAAGCTTATCTCGTTATCATTTTTTTTGGTTGAATATGAATTTATAGCATTCATTCTGATGAAAAATTTTTTCTTATCTTTCACACCTACACTACATTCATTGAGCATTCTAAAAATATATAACATATCCATTTGCATTATTGCAATTTAAATACGTATGAACACCAGTAATATGCAAAAAAATATAACCAAGTATTTTCAGCACAATAAAAGTATGTACGTTTAAAAAAATTAGAAAAAAATTACATGTACAAATATTTAGATGATATATTTCCAAGTCAAATACAATTTTTACAAATATTAATAATAATAATAATGTAACTATACTGATCTGTGATAAATCATGTATTATTCTTTATTGAGTAATATTTTACATGTACTTTGTTTTTATTTTCTCTTTTAATCTGATCTTTACATTGTTTCAATCTTTTATTTGTATATAAAAATACTCTTCTTTCTATTCATAATGTCCTTACCATGAAAAGAATGATCATTAGAACTTTGTGAACAAATAATTGGTGCATATCATATTGTTACATATTTTTTACTAATTGTGAAATTAGCTAATCAATGTGAACAAGAATTGAAAATAGTGATTGAACTCACACTCAAGTCGACTCGAGTCATAATTTTTCTGACTTAAGTTTGCGATATTTTGACTTGAGTGATCACTCTGACTCGAGTCAAGTTTGACTCAAGTTATACAGTGACTCACACATGTAACAGAACATGAAAATTAACTTACTAGAATTTTTATTTTCATGACTATTAGTTTGAACAAAATAAAAAAGCGTTCATTTGAAATCTTGAAACACTAATATTTTTTAAAAATAATTTAGCAACAAATTATTTTTGAAATAAAGTAATTTAAATCAAAATTTACAATTAGTAAATTTCTCACATTGAAGAACTTTCTTTTTATGATAAATTCAAATTTAAATCATTAATTAAAAATGTTTTACTTTATAAAATCTACCTATTTACCAATTTTTCTAAAAATTTGCTTAATTTTTATACTAGAAGCATTAATATATGAATTAATGTTTATAACATAAATTCAGTTCTTCAGAATCTCAAATCTCAGTGAATTTTGTAACAATTTTTATGAAAATTGGTAAATAGGTAGATTTTATAGAGTAGAATATTTTTATTTAGTGGTCCAAATTTGAATCTATCATAGAAAAAAGTTTTTCAATGTGAGTAATCTACTAATTGTAAATTTTGATTTAAATCACTTTATTTTACAAAATAATCTGTTGCTAAATTATTTTTAAAAAATATTAATGGTTTCAAGATTTTAAATAAACACTTTTTATTTTGTTCAAACTAATAATCATGGAAATAAAAAGCCTAGCAAGTTAATTTTTGTGTTTTGTTATATGTGTAAGCCATTATAAATTACTTGACTTGAATTATCTAACTTATATTCTGACTTGAGTACTCTTCGAGTCAGAAAATTATGACTTGACTTGACTCAAGTCAAAATGAGTTAATTTGAGTTCAATCACTAGTTGGGAGCGGAAATTAAATGAAAAGAGAAATAATATTTAGTTTTGTGTTGATATAGAGAGAAAATAATTAAAAATAAAGTATATGAGAAAAATAAAGAAATTATAAAAAGAAAAATCAAATAAATATATGTTCAAGAGAGAATTTATAAAAATAATAATATCAATATTTTTATATTAATATTACCATTTTTTAGTTCTTTCAATATTATTATAATAAAATAAAATTATAAAATTAAGTCATAACAAAAATAAAGAATAATCATTATTTTGAATGTCAAAAAGAATCTATATAAAAGTAAAAAATTGAAATAAAAAATGAAAAAGTAAAATAATTAATTATATAAAAGATAAAAGTGAAATAAAAAGTGAAAAGTGAAATAAAGTAAAAAATAAATTATAATAATAATAAATATTAAGTAAAATGAAAATTTAAATAATTTTTCAAATTATGAAATTGAGAAAAGATATATCAATTTATAATTTAAATTACTAACTATAACTTTGCTAAAATTATATTTGTGATTACTATTAAAAATTAATATTTATTATAATATAAAAATTATTAATAATTAAAAATATTTTTTAAATCTAAATAACTTTTTGAATATTCATTTTAAATATTAATTGACTTATATTCGAAATTTCTCTGATTTTTATGAATAGCTTCATAAATTTGCTTTAAGACATTTTGCTTCAATTGATTGTATAAAGAAAAAATCCTCTAAAAATAAATAGAAAACCTCTCTTAGAGCCTTATTCGAAAAAGTTTTTTATCGTTATTTAGCAGTAGGAATTTCATAATACTGTAATTTGCCTGGCATTAACACATAATTTTTGTCTTTAGCGATATCGTTACAAGATTATCATTATCGTGGTAAATACATGTACGACCACCTAATTAATTAATACAGTACACATGTACTAATAAAAACAGCGATAGCGACGACGACGTAATACAGCCATAATACGGCCAGAGACAAATGGTTGTACAGTACATGTATTTAATTCTACCACATATATCAACATTATTAATTTATCTTTTTTTTGTTCAAGTAAAAATAAACAGTAATAACGATAACAACATGAATAACAACGATAACAATATCATTAAATACAACTATGAGAATGTGGGTGACGAAAATGACGACGAAAATTATTTTTCAAAAGCTCTGAAGGTACTATTAAAAGCATTCTCTTCGATCAAAAATACTGGCGGACAAGATGAACACCTACTAGATTGTGTTCAAAACTGGTTCTCTCAACACGAAAAGTTCAACAGAACTCAAATCTTTGAGCACTTAGAACAAGTCGCTCGCAAAAATCATGACTACGCATGTCTACTAGGATTCTTTTATGATAGTGCATTCGGAACAACGAAAAACCCACAAGAAGCATTTAAATGGTACCTACGAGCTGCTGAACACAATGACGCATTCGGTCAAAATCAAGTCGGAAATTTCTTTCTGGGTGGGTATGGCACAAGAACCGATAACGAGAAAGCTTTCTACTGGTATCAAAAATCAGCGGATAACGGTTGTAGTACTGCTAAATCCAATCTCGGATACTGTTATGAGAATGGAGTTCATGTAAAGAAAAATTATAGATATGCGTTTTATTGGTACTCTAAAAGTGCAGAGATGAGTAACGAATTGGGCAAGTATAATTTGGCATATGTGTTTATGTACGGTGTGGGAACGAATGTTGATGTTCATCGCACTTTGAAGTTGTATCTGGAGGCGAAAAATTTGGTATGCACTGATGCTGAAGAATTTATTTTTGATACAAATTTCAATGCAAAATTATCCAAATAATATAACTATTTGTAGAACAAGTTTACTTAAGACTATTGTAGCAATTTTATATTTCAATTAAAAAATCATTTTTTAAAATGCTTTTTACAAATACGTACATGTACAGTGCCCCCAAAAAGTATCGCCCGATTTAAAATTATATAGTAAAATACATATAAAAAATTTTTTGTTGATTTTATAGTTCCATAAGTCTTCATTTTTTCAAAAATACAATTGATTAGCTTAAAATGATATAAAATTTAGAAATAATTATTAATAGAAATATAGAAATAATTATTAATAGAAATATAGAAATAATTATTAATAGAAATATAGATATATAACTTGAAGTTTTCAATTTTCACATATAAAGCGTGAGAAAAAAATTTTTTACTTTCCAATCAAACAGTCCTTACATTTTAAGTTGCCACAAGTCTTGTACATGTATTATTTTTTTCAAAATACAATCATTAACATGATGTAAAATTTAGAAATAATTACATGTACATGTATTATAAAAAATTTACATGTAGATATACGTACATGTATGTACGTACATACATGTACTTACGTAGCTTGAAAATTTCATTACGTATACATGTATCGGTATAATTTTGGACCGGGCGTTACTTTTTGGGGTTCGTATACAGAACGTACATACGTACGTACATGTACGTATTACGTAAATGAAATTGGTACAAATGAAAATTCTTTATCGTATCCAGTCAAGTACATGTACTCTGTCTTATTTAAAAACATGAATAAATTGTTGACTTTATTTTTCGGACGCTCTCGAGATCCCAACGTTATAGTTGACAACATAAGAGATCGTGATATCACTAATAATAACGATAAGGAAGAAACTCGAAAATTATCAAATGCTCTCAAAAATCTTTTAGAACAATTCTCGTCAATTACAAATCCTGGCGGGCAAGATGAACACCTACTAGAATGCGTTCAAAACTGGTTCTCTCAACGCGAAAAATTTAACGAAATTCAAATCTTTAAGCACCTAAAACAAATCGCTCGCAAAAATCGCGATTACGCATGTCTACTAGGATTCTTTTATCATCTATCTTTGGGTACACCATTTGACCTACAAAAAGCATTTAAATGGTACCTACGAGCTGCTGAACACAATGACGCATTCGGTCAAAACCAGGTTGGATATTTCTATCAGCTTGGAATCGGAACAGAAATAAATCATGGGAAAGCTTTCTACTGGTACGTGAAATCATCGGATGGAAGATGCAGTAATGCTAAATCCAATCTCGGATACTGTTATGAGAATGGAGTTCATGTAAAGAGAAATTATAGATATGCGTTTTATTGGTACTCTAAAAGTGCAGAGATGAGTGACGAATTGGGTATGTGTAATTTGGCAGGTCTATTTTTTTGTGGTATGGGAGCGAATGTTGATGTTCATCGCGCTTTGAAGTTGTATCTGGAGGCGAAAAATTTAGGACGCGTGCAAGCAAAGGATTATATTCGTGGAATTTTTCTTAATCGTCTTATCTTATTATACATGTAGCATTATTAATTAATTTATTAAGAATTTCTGTTTTTTATTGATACATGCATCTTGTTATTTTGCAAATATTAAGTAAGGTTTACATTATTGAAGTGTTAGTATTTTACAAAATTCTGCCAGTAAATAATCACAGTGTACGAAAGAAGTTCTCGGAACAATGTTTGTATTTAATGACACAATGAAAATTTGTTAAAATTTAATAAGATCCTTTACAAAATAACTTTTAAGTAGATTTTTTTCTTGTTCTATATATAAATAAAGAAAAAAACGAAGCTGCTTGGGCAAAACTCCTAACAAATTTTTAATATTTTTCACTTCAATCCAAGCAATACTTAAAGGCAGTGGACTGGAACGAAATAATGTCGCTAGAATTGCTAGTGCAACATGGAAAAATGCATCTAAAGATATAAAAAGCTGCTTTGAAAATTTATTTAACGAAGTTAGAACTTATATTGTGAATGCTAAAAGACCAACAAATCTTGTGCAAGGTTTGTTTTTTCTAAAATGGATCTTTGTTGTATTAACCTTTAATATTCTGCTTATTAATTTATAATTTTAACTTTTGTGTAAATTATTTTGTCATATGTTAATTATAAAATATCTTTCAAGTGTTTGCTCTTGTAATAATTAAATTTTTGAAGCTTTTTTCATTTTACACAAAACAATAATTGAGCTAAAAATTTATTTCATATGAATTTAAATTCCAGTTAGAGTAGTGACATTAATCAAGTATGTAATTTCCATTTCATGGTATAAGATTCCTCCCCCACACGATTACTATAAATCATGTGACTTATATAATCAGGACTCAACTTAGTAATTATATACGGATTAATTATATACGGATCACTATAGAAAAAAATTGGTGCCTTCGATTTATTTAATGATTAATCCAAAAAAAAGATGATTTGAGACAGTCAAATTACGATTTTTATTAGAGTACAGTGACACTTAGGTTCTTTTTCGATAATGCACTGATATTTTGTTCCTTGGTAAATAATAAAAGTTTTTAAATGGCAACCCATTGTGAATTCCTCTCGTAGATGGCGATCCTGATGAAAATTCACATTACTTAAAAATATTTATCAATATTGTTGACTTTTCTGCCATCTTAATTTGGATCACCTCACTATTTGCACACATGTACTAGGCTAATCAGCTTATAATTCTGTGAAATGAATTATGTTAACACTTTCAAAGAAAGTGACTGGAATTACCTTACCAATTGATCATTTGGAACTCACCTAGATTCTCGAAGAAAGGTTCATGATTATGAGTTGAATCTTTACAATTTCAAATATGCTGAACAAACTCTTGCAAACCTGTGGCAAAATGATCCAATTTTTTTTTTGGAAAACCTGTTATAATTGAATATATCGATAGATCAAAAAATCCATTTGTAGAAATAATATTTCCTAATAATTAAGTGCAAGGATGATCATTTTTTAAATGCTATTTATGTCTTGGAATATTTAGATTGTATTAAAATTCCTAGATACGATGCTCATCTATCCTCTCTTTCTGTTGATGCACATGCTCAACGTTGCTGTGTGACCTACGACAAATATTTTCCAAGCATAGTTTTCTCACAAAACACAAAAAATTGCCCACCTGAAGACAACTAAATCAGCAACCTTATATTGAAACCAATTCGGCTATCATTGATGAATTTACTGTGCTTCCATCTTTTAAACGAAATACCTCATGAATCAAGAATATGTCAGAGTGGAGATTTGATATTGATCAAATATTATAATGATTATAATTTTATCAATTTTATTTGATTGGCTAGTTTTTATACAGAAATTTATAAAAATGTAAAATTACATAATAATGCAATAAATTCTGATTGGTTAATATATACCTGACTGAGTCTCTCCCCCCCCAAAAAAATTACTTGATTAATGTTCCTCCCCTTATCAAATAGTAATATTACCTTCATTTGCTTCGTTTGAGATGCTTGTTGATTCAGCATCGATATCTACGTATTCATTAGTAGAATTGTGTGCAAACAAGTCTTTAATATATTGATTTGCTAATACAGTACTGTATTTTTTTTTCATATTATCAGTATCGTAGATAGAGTTGATGAAGTCTCCAAGTTCCTCAACAATTGGTCTATTTTCCGGAATAGGATCCCAACATTTTTCAATAATAAATTTGCAATATCCGGGAAAATTTTTTGGCATCTTAAGTCGTATTCCTTTATAGATATCTAATGCCAGATATATCATGACTACGCTCACCGAATGGTCTGCCTGTTTCAATATCGTAACTAAACTATAAACATTAGAAAACAAAAAAAGCAACTTTTACACTTTAGAAATGGTTCATTTTTACCTCGTTTATAAACTCCCATGTGATTTGCTTTTAATTATGTAATGATTTCAACACAATTTCTTTGTCGTCTCCAGATCGTATCGGTATAAATTTGTTTCTTCATGAGCTCACTTGTAACCGTACAAGAATGCCTTATCTTTATAAATTTTTCAGTGCTTATCAGCAATTTCTGCGCATTCTTTTATTAGACAAGCGTTATCTTTATTCTCGCTAGACCATTCAACTTTGCGATATTCATTTCCATTCATAGCGATAACAATTGTCATTTGATACACCCTTTGCAGTAACCAGATAGGCATCATTATAACCATGAGTATTAGAATCCATCTTGGAGTTCTGTGTTTTAAATGATGTAAAATAAAAATGATTTATAAGTGTTGTTGTTATTCTTCCGTCTGTGTTTGTAAAATAACACAGGAACGCATTGTGGACCAATACGTAAATAATTCAGACATGTGTATTAGATCAAATTTGGGAATCGATATTGTTATGCAAGATAATTAAGACAGAACGCATGAATTCCATTTGTGTGTAAATAATAAAAGGCTCTTTTTTCAAATGCATGTTGTAGGCGTAATGTGACCGCATTTTCATGCGAAATTCTTACGCGTAATACGTTAAGTTCTATAAAGATATACCGATACGTAGAGATAATACATATCAATATCTACATCGAATTTTGCTTTAATATAAACTCAAAATTTCTAGTCTCATGTGTCGTTATAGTAGTAAACATAGCAATCAAACGAATAAACTATAGTATAAAAGAACCTAAGTAAAATAAATTTTATATAAATAAATAAATTTTGATAAAAAAGTAAAACTGCTTTTGGTTGGTGTGCTTCAACTCGAGACACAGTTGACAAAAAGATACAATTATTATTGTTGTCAACTTACTTTAATAAAGTCTAGAGTATACATATATATATTGTTTTACTTTGTTGGAAGTGGTTCATCATGAGTCTGTAGTTTTTCAACCGATATCTTTTCATTCTCTTTGATTTCATGTGGTATACTAAAATCGTAATCAGTAATGAATAAAAGAAATTAATGAAAAAATAATAAATGTAATTTTACCTTTGTTTGGAACAAACAAACTGACACTTGACATTCCTATACATTTGATATGAATTTTAATTAATATGAAATGTCATTAGTGATTTATATTTCAAAATAAAATACCTGTCTCAGTTGGAATTGAAATTAATTTTCTGGTAAAGATTCGACTGGTGTAGATTACATTAAAGTGTATTTGTTTATCGTTCGTATTTGCAGGAATGCTTCTTTTTAATTTCATCCCCTTATCAAGTTCATTTAATTTATTCTGTTCTAATTCAAAACACTCAATGATTTTTTTATTTGTCTTAGAATATCCTGAAGAGCTGTAATACTGAAAATGCAAAGTATTCAACTTTGTCGCATATCCACGTTTGATAGAGTCGATAAAGTCTTCGAGTTCCCCAGCAGTTGGTTATTTTCTGGAATAGGATCCCAACATTTTTCAATAAATAAAGGAACATTATTTGGTATCGTAGGTCGTACTCCATTATAGATGTCATATACGAGGTGTATATCATGACTTAGATCACCAAATGGTCGTTCACAAATGATAATCTCGTACATAATCATCCCAAAGCTATAAATATCTGCAGCTTTAGTGTATGGATTTCCATTTAACACCTCTGGACTCATATAAGGAAGTACTCCACAAATTTCGTGATTAGATTGTTCTATAACTGCTGGTTTGCTAAGTCCAAAATCAGCAATATGAGCAGTATTGTACGATAATAATAATATATTTCCAGGGTGAAAGTCACGATGCACAAATTTCTCATTGTGGATTTTATTCAACCCTCGAGTAATTTCACATAAATACGTAATCTAATTTTTTGTTCCAATTCAAGTATGTAGTTGGCATTCATATATTTGCGTAGAATACCATCTTCTGCATAAGTCATTACTGTCGAGTATTCATTTGTAGCCGGGGTGTTAGTTATTCCATAATAACTTATTCCATAACTGCAAGTGTCTTCCTAAAACCTGCTGAAAAGAAATATAATGTCACCAAAAAGAAAGCTCTTGCTGTAGTATGAGCTATTCGACAATTCTGACATTACCTTCTTGGGATGCTCTTCGAAATCATCACAGATCACAATTCCCTTTGCTGACTTTTTATCAAACAAATCAATTCTGGATCTCGTATTTCTCAATGAGTTATAACGAT